CCCCAAAACCCCAAAACCCCAAAACCCCAAAACCCCTAAATAATAACTTATAATTGAGAGGAAGATGTCTACTCATCATTAGTGAAGTTAAGTATGAATTCAGTGCCTTGTTCAAATTCTCCATTTGCATTTGGTCTGAATCCTTTGAGGTTAATAGATGATTCTCAGTCACTTTGAGGATCGGAGAATCCGTACAGGAAATTCAAGTTTATTTTAAACTATTCTTGAGTTATACCAGCCTTACCTTTTCACGAGGGTTACGCCTTTGGTTCAGATATTTCTTGGTTCTATATATTTTCATTAAAAGGAAGGTATTTGTTCGATAAAATTAGCATGAAGATAGATGCAAGAAATGAGCTTTTAGCGATAAATTTTGGGGTTCTTAGAGATTTCTGATATGACTAACTTAAATTCATTTCTTATCTAAAAACACACAATAACGTTTGAAATTAATAACTTACCTTTGACAAGCAAAATCTTTATTCGTGGGAACAATCTTGAGCTCTGATTTAGACTTGTGTGTGAAGAGAGGCTTGGTCTGACACAAGTTGTAGCTGGAAGTTGCGTTGGCTTTTTGGAAAGGGTAGCAATGGTTCCTTTGTGGGTTTTGGCTGGGGTGGAGAGGATCTGAGAGATTTAGAAAGAGAAAACGGTACTTTGGAGAGGAGTTAGAGGGTTTTCGACCAATTTTGAGCGTTTAGAATGCATAATAGGGGTGGTAGAGTGTCTAAGAGGTTAGGAAGGAGGTACTGGTGAGTCATGTCAGGGGTTAATTTGTCAGACTATAAAAGAGTGTTAGAGATTTGGTGGTCGACTTTGAAGGTGTTGATTAGTTCCGCCCAAAAGATTACCAATATTGGTGTTTTATTTGAATTTTCATCTTGCCATTTGTTTAATTGTTTGATATCCCTTCACTTCATTTGTAATATCTGATCAATCATCATCACTTGGAATAAGATTGGTTTTGTACTCATCATTAACAGAAATGCCATTTTCTTTGATAGAAATGGCACTCTGGTTTGAACCCAGCGTTTTCTTTTGGTATTGTGTGGCCTTCTTATTGTTCTTGACCAATCTCTTTATTTTCCTGGGGACTATTTCTTGACATTCAATAGTTTTCTCTCGGAATTTTTTTAAGTTTCTGGGTGATAACGAATACTGCCTCTTTTTAATCAAATTCTAGTGTTTTTAGGTTTTATACGAAAATTAATAAAAAACAGTCATTTGGATGATAAAAATGAAGCTATTGCACGAAGTCTCTGAATGATCAGAATAAGAAGAGAACTGGGAGCCATGTGCTTACCTTATGACGCAAACACAGCATCGCTTTGTTAATCTTGGATAGATTCTTAAAGGATTTTAGGCCAACCTTGCTTAGGTTGGTAAATGTTCCTTTCATTTTAGAATCTTTTGTTTCCCTGAAGGAAGTCAATAAAAGGTAGCTTACCTCCAGGTTTTCAATTGCTTTAATTTCTTTGGAAAGAACCCTTCCCTAAAGATAAGGTCAGTAAAATCCACTTTAGGTCCACCAGGTCAAAATTAGGGCTTAAATTACTCTACAAATATTTGAATGGGAAAAATTGCTGCCTAGGTATCCTTCGTATTTGTTTCTCATTCTGGTATTTAGAGCAATTATTTTATTCAGGCCTGGAGATATAGAGCCAGACCTTGCCTTAGAGTTTTGCATATTCATTATTAATATCTTCATTTAATGACTCTTAAGGGGTTTTGGGGTTTTGGGGTTTTGGGGTTTTGGGG